ATATATATATATATATATTCGCGCCCGCGCGACATGTCGACGACCTAGGTCAATGATCCCGCCGGGAGATGCTGCGAGCATCGCGCGCGCAACTGAATTGCCGCGATTATTCGACAAAAGATAGTTAGGATTTTATCGATTCGTCGAGAAAAGAAAGCAAGATTTGCTTATACGCCAATCGAGAGATAATCGCCGTTGCTTTCTCAAACGGCGTACTGGCCACTTTCGCCCGTTGCGACATTCTGCCGTGTCGCGGGGAACGACGTTACGCAAACGGTCAATGACCCGGCAAACTAAATTTTAGAAACTCTTTTCACGAAAAGCGTATTTCGCGAGAAATGCACACGGGAGGGGATGCGACGTTTTACTTAATCTGGTGTGACAGCGAGCTCAGAGCCAAAATAGACTGCTTTTTTACAAATATTCTTTTAGGATTAATAATATATATATAATACTTTTTGTGCATATGGGATGTTTTTCGCATTCGAGAAAAAGAGAAAGGGACAGAAAATAATTTTAAATTTATTATATGATTATTGAGATACAATGAAATATAAGATGGGCTAGAATCTTCAAGTCATATTAATCGCGACGTTTCTTTTAATAATAATTAGCTTATTTTAAATATTTAAATCTTAATGAAAGTGCGGGCGGATAAAACAAGAATTTATCTTTGCGCGTGAAATATTAAAAAGACTCACCATCACGACTCATGCCGACGGCGATGCACTTTTTGAGACGGCAATACTGACAGCGATTCCTGTTGATTCGGAGGATGCTGCACTGTTGATTCTTGGTGCACGGCCGATACTGAATCTTCTGCTGGATGCTCCGGCGGAAAAAGCCCTGCGAATCACCAACGAAACCCTCGTCAATTTGACCGTCGCTGTCCGACGAAGACCCCGATGAGCAATCGGTCCCCGAACGCGGGGCGGCCAAATCACATTCGCACAAGCACCCCATTAATTCACTCCGGCTTAGGAAAATTTAAATCGCACGGCTATCTGAACGAATATGCAAAAGTCTCTCGCGTATGGTTTATATATCGCGTTAACCAAATAATTATATCACTCGGTACGTATCCTTCGGTTCGAAACTGATGACGCTACCTAGGCGAGGGTATCCTCTAAAAAAGCGGCAGATCGTCTCTGACGACTTGCGTCAGTCACTGTGTTTTTCTCACGTCTAATCCGCATTCACCAAAACTCGCGTGTAGTCTCTTCTCGGGTACTCGGCTCGCGGTGGACGCGCGTACCAAAGTACAACGCGAGTTTTCGGAGGGGAAAGAAGCGACCGTTTGTATCGGAGCTTGGCTGTGGACTGGCTCTTTCTAGCACAGAGAACATAGAGCCTCGGCACATTGCCTCTGGCATGCCGAGGTGGGGGACACTGTGACCTAATTCCCGGACGTTCACCCGCAGTTCACCGCGTGAAAGTGAGAGTCCCCCTTGCGCGCACTGGCGCTCCTCGGCCGTCTCCCTCTTTGAGTTCTCTCTTTCTCCTAGTCTCTCTCTCTCTCTCTCTCTCTCTCTTTCTCCCTCGCACTAGAGTGAACCCTAGATAATGTCTTCCTCGTCGTATCTACCGCGAACGCTAGCATAGAGGCTCGCGGGCGCTCTACTAACGGGTTTCTTCCCTCTCTTCTCCCCACCCACCGTCCGGAGCCACCCTCTCCGAACGACCTGCCCTACCTCCACCTCTCGGTTCCTACCCTCGCGCTGATACCCCTCTAACGTCCACCTACTCGCAAATATAAACGCGAATATAGAGAAATCTCCCTTGCTATATATGTATATTTTTGTATATGTCCTTTTTATCTCTCAATCCCTCTTGTTAACCGCTACATATCCATGAGGAGGATGAGAGTTGAGAATGAATAAAAATTGGGAAAGGGGTAGGTTAGTGCAAAGATACTTCCCGTCGTGTATCGGTCAACGACCTCGCGAGACGATTACGTAACGCGCGACAACGTGTGGGGGATCCTTCGTGAAGTTTCTATGTATGTTACCGTGGTCGTCGACGTGTCGTGTCGACGGTCGCGCGTGTATGCACGTACGCATACGAAAAGTTGGCGATGCTCGTCGCCAAAGTAACTCCGCTGTGTGTGACGTCAGACGCGCGACCTCGCCTACCTCAACTTCGTGCAGAGCATCGTCGAGAGAACGATGTACCGTTGCACCTCCGCGCCCGGGCTGTCAATCGGCTCGAGCGTTTGATGCAAGTCAATGAACTGTCAGTGTTGCCAATGTTAAGCATCGCTGCCTCCGATCATTCCAATCGGTTGATCCTTTGAATGAGAAGGCAACTTGTTTCGAATGAGATAACGTAATAAAATTCAAAATTCTCCTTCAATTAAAATTTGTTTTGAGAGATTCGATTTTTTTTCTTGCAAGATGTTTCAAATATTATATTTAAGACGGAAGTAGAATAATTATACTTTATTTATTTTGTGCATTTAAAGTGGATCTTTCGCAGACTGGCAAGTCTGAAAAGTTCTGATTCGAGATTTACTTTTTGTGAAAAACAAAATTACAGCAAAGTGCTATCGGGGCATGAGCTACCATCGTGGATGCCCGGACGAGGCCAGCAACCCCTGTTGAACCTCTCGGTCGGCGGGAATCCGACAAGCGAAGGGTGAAGGAGGCGTGTGGGGGAATGCGGTGCATCGATCTCTCGAACCGTGCAAGGCCCGTGTCGGGTCAGGGGGCGACTACCTTTGCGCGCTATCTCAAGCTGTTCCGCGTCTTATTCTTAAAATCCTTACCTTTTTAGAAAAAAAGCAAACTAGAAAATCGAGAGTTGATTTGTAGCTGCTAAAAATATTTCTAAAGATTCCATTTTTTTTTTTTATTTGATATTTCCAACTTGATTTGTACATGTAAACTCGATTTTTAAATACCGACGATAGAAATGTTCTGTTCCACAATTCCAACAATGATCATTAGATTTAACAATAGTTTCGAGAAAAATGCATCGAGAAGAGAACCAAACGAAATGCCGCACTCGCGGTTCGCTCGCTCGCATCCGCCGAAACTTTCGCCGGATTGAGAAAGTTCTGCTTTATTCTCCGTTCTCCATTCGCGCGTCGCGTTGAGAAAACTCATTCCGCAAGTCTTTATTATTGCAATTAAATTTTGATCGAAAAAAGATTGTGGAGTTTTCACCAATTTTCTATAATAAAGACCGAAATATGCAACGGCTTAATAATGATCAATATGATAAACAAAAATTGACATCGCGGTTCTAATTTTTGGAAGAGGTGTCGCGCTATCATCCTGGCGAAGGGGACCCTTTGTTGATCGGTTAAAGCTCCAATTTTATTTTCCGTGGAAGCGCAGCGACGACAGCGATAGCTGGCAGGAACGGCGGTGACGGTATACGGGGTTGTATGCGCGTACATGCTTGCATATGAGCACATATATAGGTAAAGAGAGTGTGAGACATATACACGATGTGGTCGCGGGGCCAACGACCGGAGCGCGCGACTGCTGCAACGGATGGAGGGACGAGAGAGAGGAGGGACGGCGATCTGTGACTGAGGGACGGTAGGGGAAGGTGAGCGTATCTGCTGGCACAGAGAAAGAGTGGGAGCGGGAGGTACCATAGTAAAAGTAGGAGGCAGCTGAGGAGGGAGGGAGAGGAGGACGCGAAACGGAGTAACGGTGACGTACGTAACGCGCGCGCGTGCGCCGCTCCAACAGTCGCGACACTCTCCGCTCCGCTCCGCTCCGAGGGCATTAACCGCTCGCTAGCTCGCTCTAGCACTCTCCTACGACCCCAAGAATTTGCCGTTCTATTCTGTTGCCCGGGCATCGATATCGGTAAAGTCGATCGCGGAGGTCAGAGATGATCGCTTCTGTGCGCGCAGTTTTGCACCCTGCTGATATTATTGAACGATAACAGCGATACAATTATTAAATTATAAAATTGGATATCGATCTCAATCTCAATTTTGTGTACTAGAAAGAAATGCGTACCGAATCCTATCGGTATCTAAAGCGCTTATCAGTTAATCTATCAATCATAAATTCTAGAATGACCTACTCAAAAATTGGATCAATCTTTATCTTCGGGATCGCGTTTGTAAAATGATTAAGAATCGATTGAATTCCTTTCCTGTAACAAATTTTCTCGATCCTTCCATTGTCATCGAATCGAATTATTAATGCGACGAAACGCATCCGCGTAAATTGCGAACCCTTTCGAAGCTCATTGACTCACGGATACGTAATAAAGCGGCGTGACGCGTGCTGGAAAGGCAAGAATGATCTATTATATTTTTTGCCGATGGTATCATGTTTCGCGGGACGAATTTATCGGGTGTAAAAATTGCGGTGGTCCGATTTCGCTCGGCGGGGAAGCGTTATCTCGAAGAGTTCCCGCTCCGGTGGACAGATACCACGTCGAGCGAACACCTACCACGATAATAAGCGACTGACCCGATTCTAAAGTAGATGCACCGGGGTCAGTAACCTCAAGCGAGCACCGAAATACTCGCGCAATCAAATGAAAATGAGATCGCGACTCGTTACGACGTCAAAAATGACGGTTACCCGAGAGAGGAAGGGAGAGTGGGGGGAAGGCTTCCCCGTGGGAAGGGGTGTGCGGAGAGGATAGCGGAATGAGGGAGGAGGAGAAGGAGGAGGGAGAGAGTGACGTAACTGGCTCGGAGGGTCGACGACCGGAGGGTTAATGCACCGGCGGTCGCCTGATTTCAACCCTCCGGAAAAAGCGTCGACGTGCACCTCCACCGATGATTGTTTCGTCGCGGAGATTTAAAGAGGAACTCTACTGTATTGAAGAATCTCATTTTTTTTTTTCTTGAATAACATCTAATCTTTTCGAGAAAATTGGCCACATGAAAATATTCCAATACAGCGATTGATTTTCCATAAGTTCATATATTGAGGGAGAACTTTGGAGATTTATATCTTTTAATTTTAAATTGAGATTTCCTAATTGGAAGAGAGCTCGTGTTTCAAAATGAAAAATGCATTTTTGTTTCTTTAACACAATTTCAAGCTATTTTATAAGTCAAAATTTATCAATTTGAAATATTACTAAAGTATATAATATTAATTTCATGAGAATCATATTTATTTCAAATCTCGCTATGATATGTACCGTTATGGTAGCAAGAGTAGGGCAATAATAGCGCCGTTCGACTATTTCCGAACCGTAATCGATTTAGCTCAAATTGATTTTAAAATATTTATTATCTATTTTGAAAATATTCTCGAATCTACATTGATTAATAGAAAATCTATAAAAATATCGTGTGTGCGTGTATATACTCTCTTACACGTGACGTTGTGTTACATTGGCAAGCTTTTTCCTACGGCGAAATTAATATTTCAGTGTTGCAATCCGCGTGGAGAAAAGTAGCATACTGCCGATGAGACTGTAGAGCGAAATAGTGCAACAGTGATGCGACCGAGCGACCTAGTCTTAAAGATATCCAACACTCTTCCGCGTTCTCTTCCCTTTCCACACAGCCCCTCTTCCAGTACCTTAAGACGGTCTACCGCTAGCGGCTAGGTCACTCGGTGGAGACTCGTTCGGTTTAGCGCCTCTTACGGCGTTGTGGCCATAAGTTACTGACCTAGTCAACCAACCGGGGGCCATGACTCTGCCCGACCGATTAGTCTTTCCAGTAAATTTCAGCCGTCGGAACGGTGGCGGAAAGTGGGAGGACGGATAAAGGGGACGGAAAAATCCTTAGCCAGGTGTTTCCACATGGAATGCGGCCGATCTAGTTCTTTTTTTTCATGCCTACAATAGGAGCGATGAAAGCAGAAGTACCTGCTCCGCGCCATGAATCGAAAGGTCCTCCCGATACTTTCGCCTTCCCGCGGTTGCAACGATGATCACTGGGTTTTCGGTTGGCCCAACTCTCTCTTTTAGCTCCCTTCTTTCGGGTTCCCCACCGTAAAATGTCTACTGGCGGTTCCGTTCGATTATCTCAATGGGAGAAGCACAACCAGAACGAATTATTCATCTAATACCGCGCTCTCAAAAAATTGCGTTTAAAGAGTATGTAGCTATTGCTCTGTCTAATCTAATCTCAATAATCAAAATTATATTCAAGTATCTGTGCATTGATATTGTATTATATAATCATAAACAACGGATTAATATAGAAGAGCTTTTTTTTAATTTTGCAAAGCAAGAATAAATCTAAATATAAATCAGTAATAAATGCAAATGCAACTGTTAAGTTCTTTAATAATTTATATCGTAATTGCGACAAATTCTTGGAAACATTCTTACAGATAATAATAAGTTTGATAAAAAATATCATGTCTTACAAAAATAAAAATTAAAAAAAAATTTCTTTCTTTCCCCGTGACTATTGCATTTAAATAGGAAACATATTACATAACTGCATATATTTTATACAAAGATTCGTAAAAATAACCGTGAATCGTTTGTGAAGATTAGAAGATGATAATACGAAGCTGCCGCGCGAGTGGTCTAAGTCGATCTGCGAGCGCGAACGATGCACAGCACCTGGTGGTATAACCACCTCCATCCTCGCATCGTGTGTCGATGGAGGTGGTAAAGTCAGCGGTGGGTAGTGGCGCCGTTCCTTCACTTCCTAAAACGCGTCGATAGCCAGTGCTATCCCACTTCCGGTTGAGTGTTGAAAGACGCGCGTACAATCGAAACAAAAGATGTCAAAATCGGGACATAATTTAAACAGCTCGTGAAAACATCCTCGTGACGAGACAAAAAAAAAACATCCGAGCGAATATTTATTCCGATACGAAGATAATGAAAGCACAAAATACAGCAATAATTCTCCGACTTGAGTGACATTTCCAGCATCTTCGGGCCTCAAATATCTTCTTAACAATTTTTCATTTTGTCAGGATATTAAGCTGTTAGGTATGAAAACTACTGACAAAAAAGGGATCTTTAGAAGGAATTTGAGAAGCCTACCTGCTGTGAACCTTCCGAATTTCTTTAACGCGGACAAGTTGTAGCGATAAAAAAAAATCACATTTTCCGCCCAATTTTACGCAATATATTACGCAATGGTTAAGTTCATTTACTAAATTAAGCGTTTCTTCCCGAGAATGATGGCGTCCTAGCATAAAAAATGGCGTAGAAGCATAGCGAATGTCGACGGGAATCTACAAGGAAATGACTGATGTTTTTAATCATGATTGCATCGATCGTTACAATCATTAAGAAGTTCGATGGTCGATCGCAATGACCCTGGCAATACGTAAATCGAAAATGACCTTCGAAGAGATTCTTTGCCGATGTGGGAGAACTACCGGGTCGTGAAATAACCTCAAGGACCACTTCTCACGACTCAAATCTCTTATGATTTCCGCGTGACCAAGGTTAACCCGTGCTCGGTCGACAGCTCCTATGTAGCCTTGGTTTCTCACTTCACGCACATTCACATTCACGCACATTCATTCCTACTGGCCGTACTGCGCATCCACAATTTCGATATTCTCGAAGATATTATAATAATCTATTGCCACAAATTCTTTAAACTATTTTAAACAATTTTAATTCAACATATTATTTGGACAAGTTGATCTTACTTTAATGGAAATTTGATCACATACATTTTTTCTTGCAATTCTGTTACTTTTTTTAATATATTTTATCTTTATAAAAAATCTTTAATTAAAATCATTTATCTCTGTCTCTAATTTTTGTATTTTTCGATTACAAATCAAATTACCGTTGACATCTATGACAACGGTAAAGCAAGATCAATATTGTTAACAAAACACCTCGACAAACATATCGAAATTGCTTGGCGCGAAAACACAACTCGCGCTGCAATCGCTTGCGCGACATCGGATTCCGTCAGCAGAATCTTTGATTTAAAAATCCGATTAGATATTGTAACGTAACCCTCCTCGAACCGAAACGTTAGCGCTGGCGGAATCGGATCGCTACGTTAACTGACAACTGATCCGCCGTCGGTACTCACCTTGCATCCCTCGCAGGAGTGGACTCCATAATGAAAACCGGACGCCTTGTCACCGCAGACCCGGCACAACACGGTCGTCCCATCGAATTCTGAAACAAGCGAGAGAAATGCGTTCCGTTAATGCAGGTCGTCGCAACGATAATCCTCTCCCGCGGCTTCCTCTCCACGTGCCGCGGTGCGGCTGCGAGAGAAAGGTGGGAGGGAAAGAAGAACACTTTCTCCTCTCTCGCGCGCGTGCGGCGTGTTACAGCATCGCCGTATTACAACTTTCTGCTTTCACCCGCGGTCCCACCCACGCTTTTTTTTTACGCTCGCACGCGCCTATCTTAAATTACATTATTTATCACGCCGTCAAAGAGATACCGGCTTATTCTCGCGTACCTATGTTAAGTTCGGGTTCGGGTTTAGCGGAGGAGACTGTCGAATCCATTGTCGGCATACTGGAACTAAGATGATGAGCTGCTAACTGCACCACGTGATACGGACTAATCATGCCCTGAGCGGGTACGCGCGGCACGTTGGACGCACGGGAGTCATGCGTAGACACGCCGGCGATTAGCGATTCGGATGCGGGTGATGTTGCCAGCGTGTCCTGCGCACTACTGTCCGCAATAAGAATCATGTTTTGTCGGGAGAGGAAGCTTTCACTCTGTCAGTGTTTTCTCGTCCCGGAAGGAAACTCCATCCGTTTGCTCACGACACTGCACTGAGAACGATTAGGTCCACATTTACAATATCGGTCCACTGGTCCTCATCTCGCTCTCACTGTCACTACGCTCACTGACCGATCACTAATGAATATCGATTCGCGTGCGCGTGCCCCAACTTCCGTTCGAAAACTTCGCTCTGAGGTGTACGACGGATCGGTACGATCTGCGGTTGTGCAAAGGTTACGGCCAGGTGTTATAGCGATGCTCGCCGGCAAACGCAACGAATGGTAACCGAACGCGAGCGGATGGTAACCTGAAGAGAGAGTGAAAGTAAGTCTTCGCTCGAGGGAGGTTCGCGTTGGTCTGACTCGTGTTCGGCGCTGCCGAGTATTGGTTACCTGGGGGCCGTGCAGCCCTTACTCGGCAACTCTGACCAACTCGAAGGTGGGGAGGGATTGATGTGCCTGCTCGCTTGCCAGGCTATCGCAGGCTGTGCCTCGACCATCTACAATGTCTACGCCCTGGCTACCTAGTATGTAGTAGAGGACACACAACACATTGCTCCGTACGCTCTCTTACAGGGCCCCCCGAGAGAGTTCATCGTATTTTCAATGCTCGAGGTCACTGACAATTCGCTGCGGGCCCCCGGAGCTGTGCCGTCGCGACCACGACGGGCCCGACCAATCGGTCGTCGGCTCGACGGGCCCTGTAGTCGCGCGATTGGTCCGGCATCTTCCCCACCGCGTCTACCACGACCAGCCGGCGGGGTCTCCTTCCTCCCGTTGGAGGAAGTTCATCGGCCGAAACCTTGACTGAATTACCCCGCAGCGGCGGCCAAGGCCATGCGCCCTCTCGCTCGAGCTAACCGCGAGTGTAGTGATTGTCGCGTTGCTTCTCTCTCTCTCCCTCTCTCTCTCTCTCTCTCTCTCGGGGTCTCCTTCCTCCCGTTGGAGGAAGTTCATCGGCCGAAACCTTGACTGAATTACCCCGCAGCGGCGGCCAAGGCCATGCGCCCTCTCGCTCGAGCTAACCGCGAGTGTAGTAATTGTCGCGTTGCTTCTCTCTCTCTCCCTCTCTCTCTCTCTCTTTTTTTTTCTCTTCCTCTTGCCATATCTTTGTCTCTTGCTTCTCTTTCTCTCTATTCCCACACTTGCTCCTCTCTCTTTTCGCTCACTCGTTCTTTCCTTATGTCTCTATATCGCAAACGTTCTTCCCCTTTGCTTTTTTTTCCTTCCTTCTTTTTTCATTAGTATATACTATATAAAACCGTGCTCTTTTTTTTTCCTCGCGGTATATGCCCCGCTTTGTTTCCCCTCGTAATTTCCTACTCTCGAGCGCGAAAAATTTTAATTCTTATGCGAAGATTTAAAAGAATGTCATAATCTTCGTTACCAATTTAAAGGATTATTCGTAACAATTTTTAATAATGTCAGTTATAAATAATTGAATCTAATTAATTTGATTTTAAAATTTGTCATCAAGATTCACATTTATGAACGAAAAACTGATCGTCATGTTGCACAAAAAATGTGATGACGATTTGACATACTCGCTGAATCAGACTGAGAGATCAAGTTGAGGTCGGTATCCGGTATTTTAACATAAATATACTTGATGTCCCGAAAGCATTCCCGTGGCTGTTTATCGCTTTTCTTATGTCGCATCGAATTACTGCTGATAAAACTGAAACGGATATTCAACCTACTAGTTATTGATCCTCTTCAACTGCGCAATGAGAATGGAAAAATTTCGTTTAAATATTGTAATAAGCAATATTTATAAATAAATCTTGCTCATAAAAAATTAAATATTGTGATAATCAGGTCTCAAAAACTATATCATTATTCATGCAAAATTGATATAATCTCTTTATAAATATTTTTTAGTCATGTAATGATATTTGATTATTTAATGATGTGCAAGAGAAATACGAAGAGTGAGGTTAACGCACTGTCGTAATTGCACTATTGTAAACTCGCGACAAAACAAATTGCGTTAATGATAAAAATGTGTCAAATATCATTTTACCACACGGAGAAAGTTAAAGTTTATATCTTTACAAGATAAAAGTTTTCTGTATAAAGACACATTGTACGATATACAATGGCAAGGTCGGCAATAAACTTCAAAGGAATAGCGCAGAGGGAAGGGTTATATGATTCTCTGTCTATATTATCGAATTCTCGATTTTTGAGGCGATTGCTCGGTTCTTTCGTTTTTCACAAAAATATCGTGTTTCGAGGATCCGAAATATCCTCCTATGGAAAATTCTTGAATGCACTTCCTGCGGTCTAAAGAATCTATACGGCTGCGAATCGAATGTGAACATTTGAGGATATTGAATTATGCGAAGATTTCATAGCCGTGTCAACTTTGCTTTCATTAATAGATAATAATCCGCAAGAATAAATTATTATATATAGGACAAATATATATTTGCGTTTATTCATTATGTTTATTATATCACAGATTGTATAAATCAAAAGTAAAAATGTAACTGAGGGATATCTCTTTATTCTTTTGCGCTTCTCATAAATCACTGAGATGTATGTATTATCCAGTATTTTTAAAAGGGAGTTGTTCTTTGGTTAACCGATGCTTATTGAGCGCAATAAATCGTCTCTCCGTGAGATAGATTTACGCGGGTATTTCGCTGAAGCATTTCTTCACGCTCTCTTACTCGGCTACGAACTCGGACAGACCTCGAATGTAATGGCCGCGACGACGGAGGTCAGACGATGGCGTTTCCTTGAAATCGGGTAGTGACCTGCAGTCACGCACATTTATATGCAACGAATACACCATGACCCTCGCATCTATTTTTAATCGATCGTACTGTAAAGCCTATCGCACGTGTTGTTATTACGTTCTTTTTCTTTAAGCACCGTGTCAGAGAATATTACATTCTTAGACGTGAAGCGAATTTGATGGTTCATCTTCACTAACACATTCCATAGAGTGTTGAAATAATCCTCGCGCATATTTTCTTCAATGATTATTTACTATTATAACGATAGTCGATGATCTCCGGAAGAAAAAAAGATTAGCTCGAACAATAAAAAAATTTTATAACGTTGAATGAATATTAATTACGTTTCATCCATAAAGCCGTAGGTGAGTTTCTTCGCTTTGTCTGGCTCCCGCGTTTGAATTACATGACTTTCCGCCTTCGCGTATGGCTTCATAGATTCGTTTTAGCAATTATGTAAATGGGATTATCGGCGTTTGCATTGTGTATCAAGATGGTTCGTAATTCCTTCCTCTCGCTGTAATGGAATGGTAACGCGCAGCGATGCATGTAGAGGAGGCGCGCGGATAAAAATGTAACAAGCAGAGGCGCGTAATTAGAGGTTGCTTTTTCGCGGCAACCGAGGATTGCATTGTCTACCGTTCGTGTCCTTGGCACTGAGCGACCGGTCGCCGACTTCATAGTCGCTTTGCCTCTATCAAGATTCTCGGCTTCCTACCCAGCTTCTGATTATTGCACAATCACGATGCGAACGTCGAAGGTCCTAGATATCTCTTCAGAAGATGCTATTCGTATCTCTGACAGGAGTTCGATTCTCTCATCAAACTTGCATGAAACTTTTAATTATAATTCAGAAATTATCTATACATTCTTAAATTATTCTCGAGAAAAAAACAAAGGAAAATATCTTGCCTGTCCGCGCGAATTAAAAGTGGAGATAAACAAATTTATTATGACGAGATTAATACGTGCCGCGTATAATTATTATGCGAGAGAAGAATATTGTCTGATCTGAACGCTGCTTTCACGCGATTCGCGGATTAACGGAGTACATAGTCGTGAATACATAGACCTGGTGCACATCGGCACGGACGCCGATCGTCGCGTATATGTCGTACCGCTGAGTAATATGGCGATACTTCCGCAGTGGGCGCTATGGGGCAGGCTATGGGCATAACGGTGCGCACTGCGCGTCACGCATATGCGTGCGTGATGTCACTGAACCTGGAGCAGCAGCAGCAGCAGTAAGAGCGGGTGCACGTATGTGCACAAACTTGTAAGAATACCACGCGACTGTTCCGTCTTGTCGCTTTGCGCGTTGTTGCTTTACATGTGCCATGTATTTTGCATCGCACGCGTTTCATCGATTTTTATAATGCCTCCGTAAGATCGTGTGACGAGCAACAAATTTGATCTTACAAACAACACACGGAAAAACAATCGATTAATTGATAATAAACTCTGGAGTACCGCCAACTTCCGGACTGCAAGAGAAGATTCTAAATTTTCACACATTTGTGTAAAAATACTTAAAAACTAAACTATACAAAAATTATATCTAGATCTGTTTATTCGGAAATGCCATAAAATTTACGTGACCGCACGCGTGCTTTTTCAGTATGAACGTCGAAGGGTCGGTTGTTCCAAAAAGAAAAGGAACGGAAGAGGATCGGTGGGCGTGGAGGAGCAGCTGCGTTGCATCACGCGTGCACCCGCTGCACGGACATTAAGATGCGCGTTGTATTTCGTCGGCGTAATCTTCACAATGCGGCGCGTGTCTTCGATCATATCTCGCTCAGGGAAGCGCAGTGACTCAGGATATGTGTCAACGACAATGTGTCGTCGAATAGACGCGTCGAATTTCTCGCTCACGATATTCGCCGTAATATTCCGCTACATTTTCAAATTGTTACATTTTTTTTATAAAAGACATCAATATTTCTACTGTCTAATTAAAATTCTTCTTCAGTTTTATTATACCTGGCGAAGCAATATTTCGCGGCCAATTTTCAGTCGGTCACACAATTCGATCTAGATTTGATAGTGATAAAACTTCTGTTAAGAAGCGATTTGGAAAAAAGCGCGATTATCGGGTCTACTCAAATGCATTCTGTCACATCGATCACAGAGTCGATGAAAATGACGCGAGCGATACTGTTTGCGCTTGCTCGTTCGCTCGCGGCGAAAGAAAAATGGAAAAAGTAATTTCTCTGCTGGCGCCACGTGCTGGGTCGAACGATGGACGACTTGTGCCGCGACCTGCAAAGAAACACAACGAGGCCGCTCGACCACCTCGTTGCGTTCGCGAGCGAGCGCACGCACACGATCGCTCTCGCCTCTGTAAATGGTCGCGCGCGCAATTGACGCCGCGGAAGAAGTCTTGCGTCGTTCAGGTG